CTCTCTCTCTCTCTCTCTCTCTCTCTCTCTCTCTCTCTCTCTCTCTTTATCTCTCTCTTTCTCTCTGTCTCATCTATCTCTTATCTATCTCCTGGACCCCACAAAATGGCAGCTGTGATATTTTCATGGGAGAACAATTCCTCCCCTTTCCACTATACCTGAGAAAAATTGCTATGGATGCCCCTAGATGCATTTGAGTGAACTATTTATTTATTTGCCCTTAATCTCTCTCAGAATCCCATCAAGTTCTTCTAGAACTCTAGGGTTCTACAGAACAGTTTGTTTTGAGTAATCAGGCAAGGATCATACAATTATACTTGGGTGTTCCTCAGCCTCTCAGGTGAGCTCCTATTCAGATCAGCTTAGCTTCAGAGAAAAAAAGCCCCCATGAGCTTCTAAAACGTTCCATAGAATTTGGACTATTACCAGAGGAATACATCACTTTCTTTTGGATGAAGTATGTGTAATTATTTTGGACTCAGCTAGGTTTTGTTTTCAAGGCTAACTGAATCTTACTTAATTTATTCCTTTGGGGGATTAAAGAAACAAGGAAGATGAGAAAATTAAACCTTTCTTCTTTCTCTGAGGCCCTAGCTTCTATTCAAAAACTTATTAATCTGAGTACTTGAGAGACAAGTTTTCCTTTCTCTCAATCATTTAGTTAAATCAAATTAAAAGCATTCTATAGGTTGATGAAGTAAATTTTAACAATGATTTTAAGCACATGCATTTATTAACTTGGAGAATATCACTGGAATTTAAAATCAAATTGCTACTTTGACTTTAACTGGAAATTCTCTTTCATTAATGTCCTTTCTGAAATGTTTCTCTAAGTGATGTTTTATTTCATATATGCAATTTTCTCTGTAATACAAAATTGTTTGAATTATTATGTGAGTTCAGTTAATTAGTTGATGCTCACTACAGTCCTTTAAGGTTAAGCCTCATGGCGCTTGTAACAGTAGGAAGCAAGTCACAGTGGCATAGAAATAAGATAATAAAAGAAAGAAAAAGAGGCTATAGGCAGGAAAAAGGAAGGAATTAGGCTCAAAGGAAGAACCCAAATCCACCAGCTGTTTTTGTATAAAGATGCAGGAAACTTGAATTTAAACAGAACTCTTGAATGCAACCTGTTGAAGCTATAGTTAGCCATCCGTATTCCTTACTGGGGATATTACTTCCCAACAGGAAGTCATATAAATATTGTATAAATAGGCAGGAAAGATCTTCTATTCATCTTTAGAAAGGAAGGAACTACAGGCTCACTGTTATCTTTTAAATTTTATTTAATGTATTTGGTCTTTCTGTATAAAGCTGCTCATGTGAAATATTTTGCTCATATTAATTGCAATTTGACCTTCAATTTATTTGACAAACAGAGGTCTAATTTTTGCGTACGAGATTGGGGGATGAAAATGGCACTCAACAGAAGGATGATGGATGAATTCAGTAATGACGGTAGAAAGGAAAAGACATTACCTTAGTTTTATCATATAAGGCATGATTATCCAACATCATTTTCTTCTCATGGGTGGCATATCTCCGCAGATCACGTTCAAATTGCTGCGTGCATATAAAATACTCCGTGTTATTATAGCAAAGCCAAATTATCATCTATCTATCTATCTATCTATCTATCTATCTATCTATCTATCTATCTATCTATCTGCCTATCTATATCTATATATCATCTACCTTGTTTTAATCTACTCTTGCACTCTTTGTTATAAACTATTATGAATGTAGATATAGATTTAAGATAAATTAGCATGGAAATCTTGATATTGTCATATGCAACTACTTTTACTACCACTAGAGTGAAGATGTCCCTGAGAGCTAATTAAAGTAAAGTCATGAGGAAGCCTGATAGGTCCTCATTACTGCACAGATAACCGTAAGTAATGCGATATTGCAATATTACATTACACTCTTTTCTATAATGAATGTAGTCTGCAATTCTTACAAGTTTTGTAATGGATGTTCACCCAGAGCGACTCTGTTGGATGTGTGATACTATATCACATTAGCTGGTACTGTCTTCCTGATAATTATAACTTTCTAAGAAGAGATGGGTGAAATTTAATTTAAATACACAGTGGATTCCATTTGCTTCTGACTCACAGAAGTTGTCTGTGTAAAAAAAAAAATCTTTAGGTGTTTGCACTTTTTTGGAAAGCATAACAGTTTGCAACGTGTTTGTTGATAGCTGCCTAGAGATTAAAGGCAACTGTCAAAGAATCACAAAATATGTATTGTATTCAAGGATTCAATGAAACCTGCTGTGATTATTCAGAAATAGATATCATTGATTTAAATCAGCTTACTCTGAAGTTAGTATATAAATTACAGCCCTAGTCTACGCTTCCTAAATCTCTTCCAAGAAACTTAGCTGTTTGTTTTCTGAAAGCATGCTTCCTATGGACCACCATTTCAGTATTAGCATTTTAAGGGGACAGGAAGAAATAAACTGAAGGTCATTTTAAAAAAATTATCCTGCCTTCCATAAAATCAAATTTTAAGGTGGTAACTTATGAAAATCAGAATGCAACGAAATGATAACCCAAATGTTGTAATGAAGACTTCTATAAAATTAATATTTGGGTTTTGATTTGTTTATTTAAATTTTAAACCCTGAGGTCTTTTGTTTATTTAAATTATATTTATTTGTTTTACATTTATAGTTTTTCCATTTCTATTACATTGCCTTAGAAACTAGTTTAAAAAAACAGAAGAAAGAAAAGGAAAAGGAAAGTGGGTGGTCCAGGATTTTTCTTCTTAAACTAAATTGTTATTTTAAAGAAGCATGCTGCTAGTTCCCATAACTGTGGAGAAGCGTTTCAAAATATTCAAGTAAAGTTTCCTAAAGGAGGGAAACTGATTGATGCATGGCCCCTAATGATCCTTCATGTGCTAAAATAATTCAAATTCTAAAAAAAAAAAAAATGTACCAACATATGTCACTGATGTTAAACTTGGATTTTCCTTGGTGCAAAGTTGTTGTTGCTTTACTCCAGCTGATTTTTGTAGTTATAGCTTCTCTAAGAAATAGGATTGGGCAAACCTGATAAGTTTTGTGAGGGGCAAATAGTATTTTACCCTTTCCTGATAGGGTAGAAATCTATATTAGAGCAGAAGAACTGAAACAGCTTGATGACCCTGATGGGGAAAAAGATAGATTACAGAAACCAGATTACCCTTTCCCTGGTGTGAAAGGAGACACTACATAGGTACAATAAAGAATATTGTTGATGTTAGAAAGTTCAAGTATCAGTAGAAGGGATTGAGCTTGGAGTCCTTGTAGGAATGTAGAATTTAGAGGGACTGGGTCAGACCATCGTAAAGTCACCCCATATTGTTATCAGATGCTACATTCCAGCTATAAAGATCACAGTATAATTTACATTGCTTTCTGTATCATTTCTAAGTTACAATTTTTGGAATATATAATCCATAAATCTGTTTACAGTATTTCAGGGCTCTTTTGCATTCTTGTGGTCAAGAGCCCAGTGATCACTGTAGTTGTGCATGCCAATGAAAGATACTTTATTGCCTCAATCTCCAAATGCTTTGTTTCCTTGTTTAAAGTAGGTATTTTTCCCACAACACTTTATAAAACTCAGTTGGTAACCTACACCATTTAAGTAAGCATTTTTCCACCTATTCAGGACATAAAGTAGCACTGAACTCTTCAGAAAAGAAACAAGGAAAAAAATTAACACACCAGTGATAAGCCAAAGAAATGAACATTTTTTTCAGATTTAAGGAACTGCACAATATGTTGTCTTATGCAAATTAAGATAGAAATATAAGCAGGAGGAAAGGAAGTTATTTACCGTAGATCCAGTCCACCCTAATAGAGCAAATGCATATTGTTCAAAAGGGACAACAACTAGATCCACACGAATTGCTTTCCAATCTTTGATTTCTTCTTCAGAAAAAGCCTTTGATCTGATGGAGTTTCCTTTGTCCTCTCTTTCCTTATGCACTTTTAAAATTGCAAAGCACTTCTGAAAATGATCTAAAGCATCAACCTTTCTGCTTGGCAACTTTGTATCTTCAAATGTTGATTCAATAAGATCATAATATAAGAGCAATTCCTAGAAGAAAACATATTTAATGTATTATTATGTTGAGAGCCAATGTGGGGTAATTATTATGGTGTTAGATTAGGAAACCCACGTTTAACTCCTCCTCAGCATGAAAGTTCATTGGGTGACTTTGGACCAGGTACTCTGTCTCAGCCCTTGCCTCATAGGATTGTAGTTGTGTGGAAAAATTGGAAGAGGGAGTATTCCACCTTGCTCCGGAAGCAAGTTAGAATACGAACTAACAAATTAATAAAATAAAATATTAATTATGTTAAAATTACACTTTGTTACTTTAACTAACTAACCCATATGTCTCAAAGCACACATATATGCCATGGCAGATAATTGCAACTTGGGTTGAAAAATCATTTGCGTACATACTGTAGACAGTCTTAAAACTAGTTCATATGTCTTTAGGAGGCCTTTAGGTGTTGATTGATCGAACAGACTTTCAAAAATATCTATTGCAATGAATCTTATTAGTTGGGCAAAAGACAACGTTCCTATACTATTGTCATCATTCCCTAAATAACTATGAAATTGGTGACAAAAGGAATCACATTCTTATCCATGTGGTTCTTTCCAATGGAGGCTACTGATTACCATGTGGTTTATGAACAGTGGTTCTCTATCAGTCTAGGAATTGGAGCTTTAATAAACTGAGAGAAACATTGAATATAACTGTGCTAAAATGTTTTTTCAGAAATTATTCACATATAACCTCTCGCATTTTGCTGGGTAGAAGATTTCTACTTGAGCAAATATGAAAATGTCTTCACGGTCCAGAATGTGATCCTAAGTGACCGTTCCAGATCAAACATTAGAATCACAAAAGACAACACCTTTTGATCTAGCAGTCAAGAAAATACAATATTTTTTCTACATCAGTATAAAATATTGTAGAGCTTACAAGATGAAAAATTAGGTCCATAGTCTATCATCAAAGTTACACACAGCATTATAGGATTATATGTAGGGCAGCCTGGAGTTTTAAGCCCTTCATAGCAAAGATTATATATACAAAAATTTGGAAAATAAAAATACTAAATATTAATAGATAAGATTCATATTACTCCCACATATCATAACTCTGAAATTAACTGTACTTTTTCTAATAACGGAGCCAAAGCTTTCTTCCCTGTTTTTCATATACGAATTGAGAAAAAAGAATACAGAATTTAGAAATGTCTATTCTATTCTAACCACTATTCTGTCGCAGTATGCCTATGAAGCTTGCATACTATAAATGCTTATAGCTTTGGATATAGACATTGTCAAATTAGGGACTTTAATGAATCATTAATGTATCTCTTCTGTTTCAGTGAACTTCCTGAGTATGTGTCAGTATAGCACACACACTACTTGGTTGGTAGGTTGCAGGCAACAGTATGTTGGCTTGAAAGGAGAGTCTAGATTAGAGATTGTAGCAAGCATAGAATAGCAAGAGCATGCTTGGGGAAAACTGGAATTTCTTTTTTCTAAGCCTAATTCTTTTATGCCAAATGACAGCACTGTCTTTACCAAAAGCAGAGAATGATGTATGTGCCATGAGTATGATTACAACTAGTAACCTTGTCTACTTCTTCATTTTATTGAAAAGTGTTATGCGACAGACTTGATGAGTGTTTCTCAACCTTGGCAACTTTAAGATATGTGGACTTCAACTCTCAGAATTCCCCAGAATTCCCACGTGGCCATTTTTCCGGCCGTGCCACATGGTCCGCGGCCATTTTACGCCCATTCCACGTGGTCTGCAGCCATTTTTCCGCCCGTTCCACGTGGTCCGCGGCCATTTTTCCGCCCTGCCGCATGGTCCGCGGCCATTTTTCCCCCCCGATGCGTGGTCCGCGGACGCTGACGGATACGTAAGTACTATGACTTACTGGAAAGTT